ACTCCCTCTCGTTTCCGACCCATCTCCCAGGTCTCCATGTTCCCCACTTACCTGCGGGCTTTGCTCACCTGTCCCCGTTGAACCTAGTTTAAAGCCCTCCTCACTAGGTTAGCCAGTCTGTGTCCAAATAGGGTCTTTCCCCTTTCCCCATCAGTAACAGGTGCGGTATGTGAAACTAATTTTAACTTATTTAAAAAAAAAAACTGAGTAGGTTTTCAGGATTGCTTTTAAGGCTGCACAACCATTTTTGTTGTGGACCACTATTCTGAGTTGCTTGTACATTTCTGAACTTTTCCACCTTGGAAATAGAAATTTGTCAACTTGCATTTAGAGATCAAAACTAACTGGCCTACTCTCCCATGGTACCAATACTTTCAAGTTAGGTATTACGTTTTTCAACTTTCTAGAAAAAACGTGTGAAGTCATGCTGCAGAAGGGGAGCAGGAAGGACACCATTTTTAAGAGCACACCTGCACTGACTGCCATGACCTCATGTGCACAGTGCATGTGATGCTGTGCTTGAGTGGCGCACTCTTAAAATAGGGTGACCAGATGTCCCGATTTTATAGGGACAGTCCCAATTTTGGGGTCTTTTTATTATATAGGCTCCTATTACCCCTCACCCTGTCCCAATTTTTCACACTTGCTGTCTGGTCACCCTACTCTTAAAATGTGCGTTCAGATATTGGACAAAGCCATGTCCAGATTTGCCAGTATCAGCTGCGGGACAAGCCTCCCCGAAAGGGTGGCCGGTTCAAACTGGATGAGTGGCCTCCCTAATATTCATGTTTCTTTAACCCAACGCTGACTGTTGCAATGATTAGTGTTAGGCTTTTGATATTTACAGAGCAAGGATTTGCGAACCTACCAATACTTCCTAAAACAGACAGCCCCCAAGCCCTTTCCAAGTTGTGTCTTTTCCACAAGGTGACTTACTCTGAGCACAGCAGAGCTTGGCTGCCGTCCAGCCCCAGGAGAGCGGGGCTGACCCCGCAGAGGAGCCAAGCGAGGCGCCTCCCGATCTCGAGCCTGACACAAGCGTGAGCCCGGCAGGCCGAGGCCGAGCCCGCGCCCCGGGGCGGCTGTCGCTGCAGTGCGGGCTGCGATGAGCCGCGGCGCGCTGGGCTCTGACACGCGGGGATGGGCTCGGGCCCAATGTGCTCGCCCGCCCGCCGGCTGGCCAGGACGGGGGCGTCTCTCTCCGCCGGCGGGAGGCGGAGCCATGGGCGGCCCGGCGCAGCCGCGCCAATGAGGGCCCGGCGCAGGGCAGTCTCGGACCCGCCCCGCCCCCGCCGGA